TTTCCATCCCTTGCTTCTTGTCTAGTGCTTGGAGAATAATTTGACCCCCTCTTCTTTGTGGCAGCCCCTCAAATACTGGAACACTGCTATCATGTCGCCCCTAATTTTTCTTTTCTTTAGACTAGCCAAACCCAAGTCATTCAGCCGTTCTTCGTATGTTTTATGTTATGTGAATAAAACACCACTGAGAGATGGCTTTGACCGAAGGTGGTCTTATAAATTAAAACTGTAATTACCGTACTTCACTAACTAAAACTTAGATACCTACATATAAATCACGGACAATGAGAGACTCTGTGAAACCTAATCCCCTTCTGAAATAAAAGGGTTCGTACCATGATCCATGCTTCTAAGATGTTGCGACACATCAGCAGGTTCAACCGCTCCATATCCTAAATAATTTTCCTTGCTTGTTTGCACTTGATGATTTACATCTTTACACAAGTCAAAAGTTATTCAGAGGTTTGAATCCTTTTGTGATTTATTCCCTGAGACACTAGTAAAGTGATGCCCGCTGAGATTTTCAACTGAAAGTTTAGTGGGTGGGTTGACCCCCCCCCCATTGAGTTTTATCTCCTGTACACAAAGGAAAGAATATCTTGGCATTGCTAGGGGGAACAGATGTAAACATACTGTCTTACTGCTATCAACGTACCACAAGGCAGGTAATACCTAAAGACAACAGCGGGTTACAGTAGCCTGTGAAACTAGAATGCTGTATTAAATAAGAAAGCAAGTACAAAGAAGAGAATTCTAACATTACAGAATACAAATAGAATGGGAAAAACAGAGTTGGAAGGGATCTTGAAGCCCTAGCCCTAACCCTCAACCATTCTAGACCAATCTCTTCTTAAAAGCCGCCAGTGATGGAGGGCCAGTGGTGGGATTTAGCTGGTTCGCACCAGTTCTGTAGAACCGGTAGCTAATTTTTTGTTGACTTCAGCGAACCACCTGATGCCCTAGCCCAGGGGTAGGCAACCTTGGCTCTTTTATGACTCGTGGACTTCAACTCCCAGAGTTCTTGAGCCAGGCATGCTGAGGGGAAAGGGAGAGGTTTCCAAGCTGAGCCATGCTGGCTCAGGAATTCTGGGAGTTGAAGTCCACGAGTCATAAAAGAACCAAGGTTGCCTACCCCTGCGCCTAGCCCTTTCTCGCAAGGCCCAGAACAGACTGCTGGAAGTGCGTGGACGCCACTTCTGGAAGTTCATTCTGAGCCGGGGAGTCCTTCCAGGCCCAGAACAGCCCACCGGAAGTGCATGGATGCCACTTCTGGAAGTCCGTTCTGAGCCTGGGAGGTCTTCCTGACTCAGAATGGATTTCCAGAAGTGGTGTCCATGCAGAGAACCGGTTGTTCAGGTATTTGAATCCCACCAGTGTGGAGCACCTACAACTTCAGGAAGCAAGCCATTCCACTGATTAATTGTTCTGTCAAGAAATTTCTCCTTATTTCTAGGTTGGCTCTTCCTTTAATGATCTTCCATTCCTTATCCTGTCCTCAAATGCTTTGGAGAATAGGTCAACCTGTCTTGGTGACAGTCCCTCCCACTATTGGAAAACTCCTGTCATGTCAATCCTAGTCTTTCTCTTTGTTAGACTAGACCAGGGGTAGGCAATCTTGGCTCTTTTATGACTGGTGAACTTCAACTTCCAGAATTGCTGAGCCAGCTGTGCTGGCTCAGGAATTCTTGGAGTTGAAGTCCACGTGTCATAAAAGAGCCAAGGTTGCCTACCCCTGGACTAGACAGACCCAGTTTTCCCACAACTGTTCATCTCGTACTTTAGCCTCCAGTCCCCTAATCAATCTCTTTCAACATTCAGTCTCTTCTACCCACTTCTAGATAATCCTAGATCATTAATTTAGCATTAACCCATATTTCAGATACAAATATCAAGAGGATCTTCTCTCTCTATTTGACGGGGGTGGGGGGAATTCTCTTTCCTGAAATAAAAAATTTACATGATCTAAGAGGAGACAATGTGTTCCAGATGTTTCACTTTGCATGGGTCCTTCCAAGGACTTGTGCAGACTACAGAAAATTCAGTCAGGACCTGTAGGTTGATGAAACATTGAAGTCTTTTTTTTTTAATGCTGCTGTTGTAAGGAGAGCAGAAAACCCCACCAACATGGATTGCAGAAGATCAGAGGATCCAAATGTAGCAACCAAACGACTGATTTGTGTTGTTTTGTTCCGTGTTCTCCAAAATAAGGATGGAAATTGGAGCAGCAATTTCTGCCTCCACCCTATCCACAAAGAATCTGAAAACCCAGCTTCAAAATTTGATTTTTTTGGGCCATTAGATTTCAGCAACACTACTTGGAGCTATTTAGAAAGTTTAGATAGAGGAGTGTTTCTAAGGTGGAAATGAAATCAGAAATGAGATATCCTAGGTCAGGGGTAGGCAACCTTGGCTCTTTTATGACTTGTGGACTTCAACTCCCAGAATTCCTGAGCCAGCCATGCTGAGGGGAAAGAGAGGTTTCCAAGCTGAGTCATGCTGGCTCAGGAATTCTGGGAATTGAAGTCCATGAGTCATAAAAGAGCCAAGGTTGCCTACCCCTGTTCTAGGTGTTACCCAATTCCATTCTCACCCTCAAAATCTTTCCCCCAAATGATCATGGAGATGCTGCAAAGGTTGTGTGAAAAACGGACGTAAGTCACTTTTTTCAGTGCTATTGTAACTTTGAACAGTCATTAATGAGCTGTTGAAAGTCAAGGACTCCCTGTATTATGTTTCATAGTTGGCTTTGTGAGAACTTGGCCAGCGACCCAGGTGCCAATGTGCCCTTTTCCCCTCATGTTTTGCAGAGACAAATGAGAAACATGTTGAAACAAAGAAAATAAAGGCAAGCAGATAACATCCGTAGGCAAGGAAATGCAAATCCTTGGAAAACCAACCCTTTGGGGTGGCAAGTAGGACATTCCATCACCACTTGCAGAAGCACCCCAAGAACTTCATAGTCCGTGTTGAAAAACTTGGGAGTTTAGTCTTCATACATGGTTCAAAGCTTCACCCCCACTGTCAGATATTTAATGCAAATTATAGTTTCCAGAGTTTTTCATTAGGGTCAACTCCAGCTGAGTGGCTATCATCAGCAATGCAATCAGACCCAAAGAGCTGCTGTCCCTGGTGCTGATTTTGTTGCCCTTATAATAGTCAATAGCCACCCAAAAGTGCTTCTTTCTTTCTTTCTTTCTTTCTTTCTTTCTTTCTTTCTTTCTTTCTTTCTTTCTTTTTCTTTCTTTCTCCTTCCTTCTCTTTCTTTCCCTCTTCCTTCCTTCTTTCCTTCCTTCCTTCTTTCTTTCCCTCCCGCTTCCTTCCTTCTTTCTTTTTTCCTTTCTTTCTTCTTTCTTTCTTTTTTTTCTTCCCTCCCTCCCTCTATCTTCTTTTTTTCTTTCCTTTCCCTCCCCCTTCCTTCCTTCCTTCCTTCCTTCCTTCCTTCCTTCCTCCCTCTTTCTTCTTCTTCTTCTTCTTCTTCTTCTTCTTCTTCTTCTTCTTCTTCTTCTTCTTCTTCTTCTTCTTCTCTCTCTCTCTCTCTCTTTCTGAAAAGACTTTGCTTCTCATCCAAGAAACTTCTTCAATTCAGCTTCTTGGATGAGAAGTGAAATGTTTTTTTTTTTAAAAAAATCCCCAAAAGTCCAGTTGCCTTTGGGATAAAGTACTCTTTGGGACAACCATGACCTGGATGATTGAGTATCTCCATAGACATTTAGTCCATAATTACATCGAGGTTGCATTAAAAGAGGGATAGAATCAAGATCACGTGAAGTGTTAATACCACTTTACAAGGCCTCGGTAAATTTTGGTCACCACCATGTAAAAAAGATGTTGAGACTCTAGAAAGAGTACAGAGAAGAGCAATGAAGATGATTAGGGGTCTGGAGGCTAAAACATATAAGGAACGGTTGCTAGAATTTGGGTATGTCTACTTTAATGAAGAGAAGGACGAGTGGGGACATGATAGCAGTATTCCAATATCTCAGGGGCTGCCCAGAAGAAGAAGGAGTCAAGCTATTCTCAAAGCGTCTGAAGGCAGGACCAGAAGCAACAGATGGAAGGTAATTGAGGAGAGAAGCAACCTGGAACTAAGGAGAAACTTCCTGACAGTGAGAACAATTAACAAGTAGAACTGCTTGCCTTCAGACATTATGAATGCTCCAACACTGGAAGTTTTTAAGAAGAGACTGGACAGCCATTTGTCTGAAATGGTATAGGGTTTCCTGCCTGAGCAGGGGGTTGGACTAGATGACTTCCAAGGTCCCTTCCAACTTTATTATTATTATTATTACTACTACTACTACTACGACGATGACTACTACTACTACTACAATAGTCCTTTCTCCCATTGCAAAACAAATCTAGAGTTTATGTACTTCTGCAGCTCTATTTACCCAACCAATTCGATCTGGCATTTATCTACTGCAATGGCCCCCAATCTTTTCTATAACCCGCACCCCTAGAACGCTTCTGATATATTCTCGCATCCCTTACAAAAGTTTGAAACAATGGCAACGAATTATGCATATACACTGTAATTTTGAAAACCCAGGTTTTCTCACCCCCTGGAACATTGTCTTGTACCCCCAGTTGGGAACCCCTGATCTACTGTAAAAAAACAATAATTAACAGGAAACCCAATAAACGTCAACAGTCTCTGTCAACAATCTGTAGGTAGTCCTCGACTTACAACAGTTTTTTTAGTGACTGTTCAAAGTTGCAACGGCACTAAAAAAAATGCCCTAGGATTGTTTTTTGTTCACATTTACGACTATTGGAGCATCCCATAGGGTCACGTGATCAAAATTCAGATGCTCGACAACTGACTCATATTTATGACGGTCGCAGTGTCCCAGGGTCATGTGACCCCCCCTTTTGAGACTTTCTGTCGAGCAAAGTCAATGGGGAAGCCAGATTCGCTTAACGACCGTCTGACTAACTTAACAACTGCAGTGATTCACTTAACATCGGTGGCCCAAAAAGGCTGTAAAATGGGGGGGAAACTTACTTAACAAATGTCTCGCTTAGTGACAGAAATTTTGGGCTCAAAGGTGGCCAAAAGTCCGGGGGGAGGGGAGCTACCTGTATTATTGTATTTTCCCTGGGTTTAATTCCTGATTTCCGGAAAAGGTGACAAGAAATCACTGTGGCAACCAAACAGAAAAGGAATAGAAAAAGACAAAATAATTCTCAAAAATAACTCTGTCCGACATTTGGTTCGGCTATTCATTTACTGAAACCCTATGAAACATGATCCCTGACCGACAGGCAGTAATTCCTCGCCTTGCATTAATACTTAATTCCTTCCCGGAAAACTTTTCAAGTCAGCATACCATATGAAGGAGGAAGGCAGAGATAACATTGAAACAGACAGGTCCAGCATTTAAAAGATGACCTTTCTATACATACCCCCCCCCCCGCAAATACTTGTATTTCAGCCGGCGGGTCTAGCCTACCTTCTGGCTGGTATTGTGCTATAATGGTCACCACCTGGCCTGCTCCTTTGAGTGCTGCGGCCGCCTGCTCATGTGTAGCACCACGAAGATCAATCCCGTTGACCTGCAGGGGAGAGAGAGGAAAGCTAACGCCATATGACTTAGTTGCAAAAAACTCTTAAACTAAATATAGAAAGATAAACCAGAGGCTTTTTCTCTGGACAAAGACCTGGAACAAAATATGGACCTTTGATGTTATCTGTGTTGACAAGCAGCGAGATTACTCTACGCTCAGAAATGGAGGACTACAATGGATTCCCACAACGGAGGAATGGTTACAAAAACCGATGGAGCTAGCAGAGATGGCTGATTAAAGAAAAGAATACGAATACATTGATTGCCACGTGGAAACCGCTTCTAGATTTTGTGCTTGAGGTGGAGGGGAAAAATGAAATTTTGATTGTGGGCTTTACCTATTAGATAGATTTGATGTTATTGAATTGGCTGGTTTATATTATTTTGTAAAAGTAAAAAGTTGAGGTTTGAAGTTGATACCCTATTGCACCAAAGGAAGTTGGAAGTATACTTTAGAACAGTGGTTCTCAGCCTGTGGGTTGGGACCCCATTTGGGGTCGAACGACCATTTCATGGGGGTCGCCAAACAACGCAGTCCACCATTTTTTCCCCCCTTTTCCTTAGCTGTGCTACTCCCTTTTATTCTATTGGCTTTTGAAAGCCAACAGAATAGACTCTCTTGAATAGAGTCTAATTCTGTTGGCTTTCAAAAGCCAATAGGAATTGTCCAGGCTGTCTCTGCCCTGCTGAGCCTGCCAAAAGTCCCATTCTGCAAACGGTGCTGCACCAGTTGAATAGTCCTCGACTTACGACCAGTTGAGTAGTCCTCGACTTACGACCAGTTGGGGGTCGCAGCATTAAAAAGGTTGAGAACCACTGCTTTAGAACATGGGATACCTTTTATCAATGGCTAGAAAAGTGAGATAGAGAGAAAGGAATTTAACATGTATTAGTATGTTAAATGTTGCTGATAAAATATTATGCATTTGTGATTATAAAAAAATTATCTATATCTATATCATCTATCTGTCTGTCTGTCTGTCTGTCTGTCTGTCTGTCTATCTATCTATCTATCTATCTATCTATCTATCTATCTATCTATCTATCTATCTATCTATCTATCTATCTATCTATCTGGCCGGCCATCTATCTATCTATCTATCTATCTATCTATCTATCTATCTATCTATCTATCTATCTATCTATCTATCTATCTATCTATCTATCTATCTATCTATCTATCTATCTATCTGGCGGGCTGTCTGTCTGTCTGTCTGTCTGTCTCTCTTTCTCTTTCTCTCTCTTTCTCTCTCTCTCTCTCTCTCTCTCTCTCTCTCTCTCTCTATATATATATATATATATATATATATATATATATATATATATATATATCTGGTGGTCTTGTCTGTCTGTCTATCTGTCTGTCTGTCTGTCTGTCTGTCTATCTATCTATCTATCTATCTGGCTGGCTGGCTGGCTGGCTATCTATATCTATCTATCTATCTATCTATCTATCTATCTATCTATCTATCTATCTATCTAGAGATAGATAGATAGATAGATAGATAGATAGATAGATAGATAGATAGATAGATAGATAGATAGATAGATAGATAATCTGAATTAATAAGGCTTCCTGCTCCCAAATCAATCCTATGCTGCCACCTTGTGGACTTTAAGGGAACCTATAATTGATATAAAGTAAAACCTATTACGCATAGTCCTTGACTGATGACTGTTCATTTAACGAATCTTTGAACATGACAGAACTGAAAAAGATCCATCCTCAACCCGTCCTTGAAGTTACAACCTTCGTACCATCCCTGCGGTCATCACAATCTGAGCGCAGGGCAACCGGTATGCATTTACAATGACTGCGGACTCTTGTGGTCATATAATTGTGATTTGCAATCCTCCTTGCCAGCTTCTGATAAGTAAAGTCAATGGAGGTAGCTGGCTTTGTTTAAGGACTGCATGATTCACTTAATGACTAGGTGATTCGCTTAACAGTCACAGTGACTTACTTAACAGCTACAGCAGAAATGATCATAAAATTGGGTATAATTTTAGGTGGCGTCTCACTTAATGACGGTGTTGCTTAAGGATGAATTGCTAAGTACCCTATTTGGAAATACTTGTAATTGAGTCTCACAGCAAAGCAGTATCCTCAGAGAATATGTCCAACTCTGAAAGACGGTGGGCATGGCGTCATAATGAAAGGCCTGTCAGTTTTGTACGCGCATGTGCATGCACATACAAAAGGGGTGGAGCTTGGTTATGATGCCAAACCCTCCACCTTAGCCCGTCCCCCAGATAATTCAGCATTAAAGGCTCCCAGAAGCTCAGCCATATCTCCCCAACGAAAGCCAATACAGGGAGTCCCCAGGTTACAACACTCATTCAGCGATTAAGTCACAATGGTGCTGAACAAGGGGGGCACAAAGCTGCAGCTGTCACACATCCCAATGGTGACTTGACTGAAGTTGAGGCACTTGGCAACTGGGCTGCAATTATGATGGTTGCAGTGCCCCATGGTCACAAAAATCACAGTTTGCAGCCTTTCCTGCTGGCTCTCCGTATGCAAAGTCAGTGGGGAAGCCAGCAGGAAGTCGCAACTTGCTCCCACTCAAGTTCCTTAGAATAGAATAGAATAGAATAGAATAGAATAGAATAGAATAACAGAGTTGGAAGGGACCTTGGAGGTCATCTAGTCCACCCCCCTGCTCAGGCAGGGAACCCTATACCATTTCAGACAAATGGCTGTCCAGTCTCTTCTTAAAAACTTCCAGTGTTGGAAGATTCACAACTTCTGGAGGCAGGTTGTTCCACTGGTTAATTGTTCTAATTGTCAGGAAATTTCTCCTTAGTTCTAGGTTGCTTCTCTCTTTGGTTGGCTTTGATCTGTTGCTTCTTGTCCTGCCTTCAGGTGATTAGGAGAATAGCTTGACTCCCTCATTGCCATTCTGCTTGACTCCCTCTTAGCTTTATAGAATAGCTTGACTTATTCACCCACCCACCTAGCTGCCTTGACTTATTCACCCACCTGCCCACAGGTAAGACCTGCTCATGGCACCTGCCCACCCACCCACAGTTCGTACCCACTGGCCTGCTTTCCTTATAGTCCTGCCTCGTCTCACATTGTGATCATGTGACGTCTTTGCTTCACAACTTACATGGTGCCTGAGGTTATGATGGCAACCAGGACTGCTGGAATTCACATTGCTGAGCAAAATGTGACAGCAGCTTTATGACTGCATTGCCTAGTGATGGAAATTCTGGTCTCAGTGGCTGTCATAACCCAAGGCCTACCTATATTGTGTAGCTGTCCATGGTCCTGAATTAGGAGCACTTGATTTCAACATTTCCAGAATTTAGAATTTTGGAGTCTTTTTTGATTGACCCAGAAGGCATAGAATCATAGCCAAATCCTGCATAATTCCTCAAAAATAAAGGAGGAATGAATGCTGTTATGAATGATCTATATGGACCAATATTTAAAGCAAAAGGCAAGCAAATCCATTCAATATATACTCAGTATATATTGAAATAATTATTAAGCCATGTGAAGGCAGAAAATTAATACGATTAAGCGGGCATACAAGTGCTTGAATTTGTTGCCAAACCTCTACAGCTAGAAGTGATCATTGCCATTCTGCTGTCACTTATACAGGTCTTTCTTTCCTGTTAAAAGATACCTCGTTTCATTAGTTTAATCATTTGTACTAAATTATTCTACCTTAAAAGGGTCTTTGAAGAGATAACCGGAAAGATCAGCCAAACGTTTTTTATGACCTATTTTCTCTTCCTTGTGATTGTAGTTGGTTGCATCTCTGTGTTAGCTAAGCAAGAATGACTTTTGACATTCATAACTAAACAGCTTTCTTTTTCTTTGTTGTTGTTGTTGTTAATTGCGAAGTTGTGTCCGACCCATCGCGACCCCATGGACAACATTCCTCCAGGCCTTCCTGTTCTCTACCATCTTCTGGAGTCCCTTTAAGCTCATGCCTCCTGCTTCAGTGACTCCATCCAGCCACCTCATTCTCTGCTGTCCCCTTCTTCTCTTGCCCTCAATCTTTCCCAACATTAGGCCCTTCTCCAGTGAGTCCTTCCTTTTCATTAAATTCTGAGGGCACTTTGTCCTAACATATACTGCTCTATGTGCATTTTTATTGGAAAGCTGGATGGCAACATTGAGGGAGAAGCAGAGGTAATGGACATGCATTTATGCATTTATGTGTTTCAAAATGCAATATCAGATTTTTTTATTTTTTATTTTAAATTGCACGTGAAAAAAAATAAGCTTGGATAGGTTTCTGTTCCCCAGAGTCCTAATTTAGCTCTCCGTCTTCCATTATTCAATTCCTTATAATACTGACAGTAGAAACACAGACCATGACAGATTCCTTTTCCATTGCCTCTCTTTTCTGCATTTGTTACCAGTGCAGGCAACCCTCGACTTTGTTGTTGTTAGTTGCGAAGTTGTGTCCGACCCATCGCGACCCCATGGACAACGTTCCTCCAGGCCTTCCTGTCCTCTGCCGTCTTCTGGAGTCCATTTAAGTTCATGCCTACTGCTTCAGGGACTCCATCCAGCCACCTCATTCTCTGTCATCCCCTTCTTCTCTTGCCCTCAATCTTTCCCAGCATTAGGCTCTTCTCCAGCGAGTCCTTCCTTCTCATTAGGTGGCCAAAGTATTTGAGTTTCAACTTCAGGATTCTTTTTCTTAGGTATGGCTAAATCACTGATACAAGGAGTCTTTGGCTTATGACCATAACTGATCCCGGAATTAGGACATAAGTTGTAGCGGTAGGTCCTCATGTTAGATGCCCCTGATTTTACAACCTTTCCTGTAACAGCTGTTAAGTGAATTTGGCAGCTGTTAATCAAACACAATAGTTGTAAAATGAATCCCTTATGCCCAATAAGCGTTTTATCCTGGAAACTGGAAGTAATCCTTGGAAAAAAACAAAAATGCCAAAAATTATAGTCATGTGATTGGCAAACAGCCACAAATGTGAGCCTGTTGCCAAGCAACCAAAATGAGATGA